AGTCTTGTTCGGGGCAAATGCATAAGAAACCCTAATCTAATTGGAATAGCTTGTGAGTATTTTAGATCGAAGGATTTTATTGCGACTGACTTTTGTGAGGATTTTGTAAGATCTTTACTAAAAGTCACGCATCGATGAAATATTCCGTGACGGTAACTGGATTGAAGATTCTCCTTAAAAGGCCAGATTTGCTTTTGTTTTATTCAATCCTTGAAAATTGACGTTTGTGTCCAAGTAAACATTACTTTTGATTTCGTTTCGCCATTTTCAATAGTATTTTGGTGCCTTTTTGGTGTTTATGTTGATGCAATTTTCCATGTTTATGAGCGAATGTGTGATGTCATTTCAGGCAGATACCTCAATGTTACTGAAATTTCAGCACCAAACGTCGCCAGAATTGTTGATATTTGCCGTTGTAAATTGTCTTTTCTTTGGTAATTTGTTGTTGTGTAAGTACATGGCAGTAAGCCAATGAGCAACCTTTTCTCACATTAACGTTTTCAATGAACACATTTTTTGGGCCACAAGTTGAACAGAAATTCCCCAAAACCGAATAGTGTCTTCCTAATAATGACATCACAGCAACAGCGCCATCAGTTGTCCAGAAAAGCATGGACAATTCGAAATGTTTAAAGACGTTTTCTCTGAATAAAAGTAGCCCAAAAAAGAAATGCCAAATAGTTTTCATACTTTTAAGAGGATAAGAAAGTTGTACAAAATGTGTTTTGAACTGGATGACACATCTGACAATTTCTACGTTACAAACTTCGTGACGTGACCTACATTTTGGGTACGCCTACCTGAATTTGGAATCATAACCAGTGGCGTATAAAAGTTCGTGTCGACAAGTGGGGGGGGGGGGAGGAATGCTTGCAAAATCCTTGCACCACATCGGACGTTGTAAAATAACTTGAAAAGCGGTGGGGTGGACACGATTTAAACTAGGTGGCGCTGTTTTTAATGCTTTCTTGTGTGAATATTATTGTACATAAAATACGTCATGTAAAAAAAAACATGCGATTATATGCAGTTTAAAAACGCTTATTTGCAACCATAAACATTTTGATTTGCATCACACGTTTGGCTGTGTATCTGTGTAGTTCCTTACAAATAAGCATTTTCGTTAAGATTTATTGGCTGTTCTCTACCTCTTAGTGGTAAAGGGTTGGTTTTGTATTGTACATAAAGTAATTGTGTATTTGTGTACAGTAATTGATTGTTTTGCTTTGTCATATTTTTTGTATGGTAATTTTCAATGTAATGTATTTTATACCTGTTTTTAATTCATGTACACTGGGAACTCAGTGTTCATGTACTTTTTAAGCATGACAATATATAAATCTTCCATCTTCCATCTTGAATAAAAACAACCGCGAAAAAGCCTACTTGATTCAAGCTGTAGTGTTGTTACATCTTTGCCTCGTTTTTCAACTTACAAAGTGTCGAATTTGTTTTTCAATTAAAACAAAAATTCTAATAACAACGAACAAATCGGGGGGGGGGAGTAGGGAACTGTTTTGCTGGTAATTACGCTTTCCGGGTAGTTTTTTCGGTGTTCCACAGAAATTGGCAAAGTACCAGTCGACAGCAAAAAAAACATGACATAAATGTTGGTTGGTAACCTGTTTTTGAAGTGCTTAGCGGAATGGAAGACTTTTGAGACGCTTGAGGGCAGCCAACACACCGGTCTATTGGAATTATTTGCGTCATGTTTAAGCTAATGCGCACATGATCAAAATGAAGCAAACAACAGAAAAGGAGCCAGTGTGTTTGCTGCCACCAAGCGTCCTAAAAATCTTCCATCCTGCGCTGAATTAAACGGTTCGTAATTGACCTTGTGTGGACGTGGGTAAGTCCACACCGTCTTCACTACCTGCAGTGTGTGGACATCTTTTGTTCACAACGTGCCTGTACACCTTGGCAAACAATAAACGTTGGTTTTGAGTGGAAGAAGGACGTCAGGGCGAACAATGGGTCGATCGAAGGGTCATATTCGGTCTTTTCGGGTAATCGATAGAGCATGGAAATATCTTTCATTTGATATACATTTTGTCTGGAGATGCTACGTCATTCTGACGTAAAATAACAGTACGAAAAAGACAGCAAGAGGTTTTTCATTATTATTTCTCCGGCAAAAGGAAGTTAGAGTGCAAACCTCATGTGTTCCAAGTGCGCTAACGTCCCACTGAAGTGGATAGGTAAAAGCCAAGTTTATTCCCCAGCAAAAAGACGTAATGGTTTAACATGCTGCTTAAGCGCCCGTTTAAGGCAGGGGGTTCCGGGTAAAAGGACATAAGCATACAAATATAAATAACTTTAACATGAAGTAATGCTTTAAAATAGAAATGCACAATATTATTTCAAATATTAACGAATCACATGAGTCAACAATTCAGCCTTATGTGATATTTAATTGAGAAAGGAGATCACTAAATTTTTAACTCGATTATCTCCAAAAATACACGAGAGATCACACACTGCAATTGATCGAAACTCCTCAAGCCAAAGCTAATCTAAAGTGTTAGCTTTATGGACCATGTTACATTTGTTTACTAATTGGGTGTTGTGGTCACGTGATGCCAACTTTCAGCCCACTGTACTCTTCTGCACAGCCTGTGTATCTCCTGCATGCGGCGTCAGGAATTCCCATTTGATTTCAATAATGAAAGTTTTTGCTGAAACTTGCGTGACCGTAATAGCTTGTCTCTGCAGTCATTTGATATTATTTCCTGAACGTCAGAAGTTTCAATTTGCTTGCGCATTTCCCCCAGCATTATCTTATACAGTTTCTGGTTTGCTTAAGACAATAGTAGTGATACCAAAAGCTAGTTAACGAAAACTGCGATTGGGTTTCCTCGTTCGCACACTACTCATAGTCACATGTTGATGATTTATTCTTGGAGAGATATAATATAGCTACAAAGTCATCGAACTCATAGTTTGGTCATTGCCCTCCGGCACAAAACCTAGTCCATGGAATATCCCCTTGCACAGCAAGGGTCTATGATATGCGAGCAGATTCGGTGATTAATTATGCAAAACGAGACTGCGTCTTGACCTTGAGATCCTGACCATTCAGCGGGCGCCTTCTATATCGGGTCTTTGGTAACCCGTTGTTGTATAACAAAAAACATGACATAAAAATTGACCAATCTACAGCTTAGTCCACATTTCTGATCAAAATGATGTCATAGTTTTCCAAAGTTGACTTCGATTGGCTGGCGCGTGCTGTCGCATACAATTTGCCCGTTAGGATATATCAGACATTCGTCCGTGGCTCTACACACGTGAATGTCTGATCATCAGAGTAATAATTCACTGTACAGACACAAATTATCAAAAGTCAGATCTAGGCGTTAGAAGCTAGAGCAACGATTCAAATGGCTCCCTTTCAATGAAGCTAATTTGTGAACATCCTAAGGAGTTCATTTGAAAAACTTAAATGACAAACGTTCTGATTTTTAGACAAAAAACTTTCCATTGAACTTTTCATTTGGAAACTGAGTATACCTGTAACTCCGTCCAGTTTTGTCAGATTCCCATTCTGTATAGTCTGAGTATCAGCCGTTGTTCACCGGAGCCTGCAAACTCAGCAACAACGTTTGATATAATTATGTGAGCATGCACATCTTAGGAAACCCCGCGCGCCAGCCAATCGGAGTCCACTTTAGAAAATGTGACGTCATTTCCAGCAGGCAATTCGGCCTCAGCTGTTGATTGGTAAACTTGCTGTCATGTTTTTTGTAATACAACAACAGGTTACCGAAGACCCCATGGAAGGCGCCCGCTGAATGATCAGAATAAACCCCCTAATCATGGCCAAGAAATTACAGTGAAAAGTTCACGTGATGACTTTGAAGCTATGAATCCCTTCAGAATAGAGAGTTCATCATGTGACAGTGATGAGTATACAAACGAGGAAACACAATCGTGTTTCGATAATGAACTTTTGGTATCACTAGTATTTTTTCAAGTAAACCAGAAACTTAGGCGGAAAAGGAGCCAGAAAAATTGAGACTTCTGACGTTCAGGAAATAAGATTCCAAACGTTGGATCAAGGACGATGTTTAAATTGACTGCAGACAATACATTTATGTAGTTACGCATTGTTTGTATACAAACAGTAAGCTAAATCATTATTCAAGTCAAACTTAATTAAGAGCTAAAATGGAATTTCATCAACTCGCATCCCATACTTTAAAAAAAAAATTAAATTCGGAAGGTACAGAAATTAGGATTTGTCTCTATTGGCTTAGTTCTATAGACCGTGTTACCTATGACGTCATACCAACGGGCAACTGACAGGCAACCCAAACATTTAAGCATCTTTTGCATGTTATTTTGCCGACATTAAACAGTTGACGTCACCACTTTTACACCAATCACATTTCAAGGGATACGCATGCAGTGCGGAAGAGATCAGTTTGCTGAAAGTTGACATCACGTGACCACAGCATCCAATTTGTAAATAAATGTTACATGGTCTATACAGCTAACACTCGGGAGTTTAGGTTCATTACAAATGTGTGCATAATATCTTTGGCCAAACTTTGGGGTGGGGTGGGATCGGGTGGGGATGTGGTGGGGCAGCGTGGGGGATGTAGGGTGTAATTAGGTTCCAACCACGTGACTAAGATTGTCGGACATTGTTATTGTTAATCATGCTATAAAACAAAATCCCATAGGGGTAATTTGAACTGCACGAACCCATACTCCAGAGGTTCAAGCTCACCCTTGGAGCGAGTTTAGAAATACACAATTCACGAGATAGCGCCTTTAACTCCATTGGATTTGCTGATCGAAATTGAAACTAGGTGTTCGACATTCCCATTTAAGACGCAAAGAGTGAGTTGGTTATAATGCATGCCCAGTGTTTATCGCTTTCTTTTCTTGTTTCACATTGCTCGGTCCCAAGACGAGTTATAATCTGGCTGTAAATGTAGATACATTTCGACTTGTGAACCAGTCCTGTCAAGACGTCTGATAGGCCTATAAGAAAGATGAATGGAACAATACAACATAGCGACGGACTGACAGCCCATGAGAGGCAGCTTTTCCGTGATGTCGAAACTCATAGGCAAGACTACGACGACATAATCCGTCAGTTTAGCAAAATCATCGCCCCCATTGGAATCCTGCTGAACTCTATTTTTCTCTTCGTAGTAATTCGAGTGAAGTCCATGCACACGATCATCAACGTCTATCTGTCGAATTTAGCAGTGGCTGACGCTGCCTATCTGATTATATGCATGTCAGTAGCTTGGGCATTAGAATATACACACATAGCTTCAGGTACATGTACTTCCCTAGCTGTGCGCATAGCTTCTACAACGATGCAGATTGCTTCGTACGGCTTCGTGGCTGTCATAGCGGTCGAACGATTCTCCGCCGTACGCCAACCGCTAACCCAGAGAGTGCGAGCGAGCAAGTCACGAGCAGCCAAGTTATCAGCAGGCGTCTGGGTTGCGGCAGTTGTCATGGGCGTTTTGAGTGGACTCGCAAGTGACTACAATTATGTCAGGAATTTAGCTTTCACTCAAATGTATGTTGTCATCGTTCTCCTGATTTACCTGGCTGCGTTTACCATAACTATTACTTCGTATATTTACATCGTTATTAAGTTATGCCACAGTGACCGAGAGCGTCAAGCAGGCCAAACCCGTCGAGTTTACCCCGTCGTCCGCATGCTGGTCATCAACACTGCTGTCTTCTTCGTGCTCAGTTTGACGGACAGCGCTTTACAGATCATGTACCTTGTACTGCTGTTCTTTCACAAAGGAGCAGAAGCTGTCATTGATATCTATTGGACCATCACCGACGTGTCGGTCTGCGCAGGAATCATACGCCTCGTCAACAGCTCCATCAATACTCTGGTGTACAGCGTAACGAACAGTCAGTATCGAGCGGCTTTCTTGGAGGCTTTCCCCCCGCTTGCCAAGCTCCTTCGACAGTGCCGCCACGGCCGCCGACCGCAGCAGACGGAGCAGATAGAACTTCGAGCGATTCCACCAGCAAATGCCGCTCAAGAATCACCGGCCCAAGCGCAATGAACATCGACACCAATCCAGACTTTTATTCGAGTCAATCACAAGTCAAGTCCCAAGTCAGACACAAGTAAAACCACAATAACAAGGATGGAGACAATCCAACTTGGTTCCTCCAATCAGAGTGTTTGAGAGAGAAACCCGACTTTCTGCCTGTTCTCATCCATATACTGTTGCAATTACCAAGATGTAGAACAAAAGGTTATTCCAATAGCTTTTCTCCACGTGCTGCATCTCTTTGGAATTGCTTGCCTGGTGCTTGTTTCTTGCTTGATTAGGAGAAATGTTCATTCCTTTCCTGAGCACCTACTTTTATTTTGTATTTTTCTTGCAGCCCTGTACCGTTATTTATTGTATTCATTTTCTTTACCCAGAGAATGCCCAAATAGTTTAAAGCTGGTTTCCATTTGGGCCCTACATACGTTCCAAATTATTAAATAATATTATAAATTAAAACTTATAAGAAAAGGTGCATTAGTGAAACAGACGACGATCATGAATACTTACAAATACAAGTATTTCAGAAATATTACAGATATCAATCTATAAACACAAACACAAGTTCATTTAAACATTCAAGTAAAAGGCGTGAATTTCTGAATAAGGGATGGGCGAGAACTCTGCTAGACCCTTTCAGGAGAAAAACAATTGTAAAATTCCCGATCAGGCTTCAAATAGCCGTGGAAATCAAGTAACTAACTTCGTAGATTAGCGCATTTTGAACTGGTGAAATATCACAAGTTGGTGGCTCGTAGTCCTGATTTGAATGTATCTAAGGAATCTTTAGTTCTATTATTCATGCAAATTATTCTATATATTCGCACCACTCACAGCGAAACATGTGGCATAGCATTCCTTTTTGGCGAAAGGGACTTTCAGTGCCTTAAGGTTATTATAGTTGATTGTCTTGTTTCACGAATCAGTGTGAGCGATGTGAAAAGATTCACGTACAAAAAAAAGACTCATTTTGTTGAGACTTTGAAAACAAGAATAGCCTTTTAAGACTTAAGTCTATCCGGAAATGCACCCTTTAGTCTAGCAATCATATCCGCTGAAGTGAGGGGCTCCAAGTTGTGAGTGGCTTTAAGTCTTTGCTCAGAGCAAACACAGGGAAAGTAAAAAAAAAAAAAAAAAAATCCCGAAACTCAAATGACAGGACCAATTTTGGAATGAAGTTTTGCTCGTAGCACTTTCAAAATCTAGTGTACGAAAGCTCAGTCATTAAGCATTCTTTTAGTACAAGAATCATTCAAATTACTCGTGTACTTTATAAGTTACGCGATTTTGAACACAACCACCGTTTTAAAGTTCCGTCTGAGGATCACAAAAAAGTAAGTATTATTTCTGCAAAACGAAAATAATTCTCATAGGGATGCATGTGAATTATTTTCGTTTTGCTGAAAGAACACTTATCTTTTTTGTGATCCGTGAAAAGAACTTTAAAACGGTGTTTGTGTTCAAAATTCCGTAACTTGAAAAGTACATGAGTGATTTGAATGATTCTTGTACTTAAAAGAAAGCTTACAAATTGGGCTTTCGAATGGTATCCTAGATTTAGAAAGTGCTACATGCAGAACTTCAATGAATACGATTTGTGCTTATAGACAAAGGTTTACAATAATATGCTCCTTATTCATGTTTTTGTACATTTTCGTACCAAGAGGTCATGCTTATAAAGAATGTACATGATGACACCTCCCAATGGTTGGGCAATTTGTAATATCGATCATAGGTTTTTATTGATATTTCAATTTGATAATTGGAAAGTAATTCTTTTGGTAACTAATAACAAAGACAATTCTTTTGTTCGTTGTCTCATTCAAAAGTGAATAACATTTGTAAAACACTAGAATTAAATAGCGATTTAAAAGCAAAATCTAACTTTCGGGTCAAAACTTGAAAACTAGTACGTGTAGAGCGTGTCCCTAAACACTGTACACGAAGAAGTTGCCGATTTGCTCAAAGGTGGTTGTACCAGCTAATCAAATTTCATATTGTTTTAAAGCCTATGGTCTTGTTTATAATTGGCGAAAATATGAAGAAAATCTATCAATGCAAACCAGCGATATCGTTGATTTTGTAAAGCTATATTATTTTCCTCCTGCACAGGTCGAATCATGCAATTAAGCTTAGGCCAATACATCTCAGCTGTCATAGGAGATTGCATGTTCATTGTTCTTTCAAAATCTTTGTCAAAGACTAAACACCCGATATAAGGCATTCCAAGTGGTATTAGAATTGATTACATAATGTTATGTACCCAAAATGTTATCTGTGAACACCCTTATCTAATGCAACATAGGCCTATGCGTATTGCCTATCGAATACCAATAGCCCAATGATTGGTATACAAGCTAAGTGTGGAAATTACATTGTGCAGGTCGAAAAATACATAGCCTTACCAAATCAATGATATCTCTGGTTTGCATGGTTGGATTTTCATGATTTTATTTCATCAATTATAAACAAGACCATATGCTTGAAAATGCTATAAAATTTGATCAGCTAGTCTGACCAACTTTTGAGAAAATCAGCGATTTCTTCATGCACAATGTTTATTGGATCACGCTGTAGATCAATATTAAGCAAAGCGAAACGTCTAAGAGATTCTTGAAGTATTATGGTTCCTGGTGTTTTCTTTCAGACGAGATCGAGAAAATATAATGCAAATAAGTTAGGAGAAAAGGATACTTAAATAACTGAACAAAAAGAGTGTAAAAAGGAAAGGTCTTTTGAAATAAAGAAACGAGAGAATGTGTTTCAGAAGAAAAATAATAATACAGGATTTCTTTAGCGCCATTAATTCCATCTTGATCATGCGCTTTGAGCAACAACGTTCTTTGCCATTTCCTGTGTAATTTTTTTTTTTTAGTAATGTACATGTTTGTTTGTTTTTTGTTTTTTGGGGGGTTCTTTTAAGGACCCCGTTGGAAATTAAATAAGCCATCTTAGGCCCCCCAAAAAAGTCTCCGGTTCTGGTATGGAGCTTGCCCAGAAAGTGGTGCGGCGACGCGTTTTTTTGTTTTTTTTTTATATGATTTTTTTACTTCAAATGTCGGCTGATGACTGCAATATGGGAGTCCAGAGAGGCCACATAAAGCTTATTCTCGACCATAACCCAATCTAAAAACACGTTAAAATTGTGCAGCAGCAGGATTCCTGTCAAACCAGTGAGTTTGGCGGTTTTGAGACATCATCTTTCATGGCTACGGCGACGCGCGCGCATACCAGAAACCGGAGACTTTCTTTTTTGGCCTTTATAATAGAAACAGCTTTTTGGGTTATCCTTGGCTTTGTATATACATGTAATAATTCATTTTTGTGTATCACTGTATGTTTGTTCATATTTGCCAAAATAAATATTATTATTTTAACAACCAATAATAACGACTAATGAAATTGTAAATAATTGTGTATTTAAGTTGCTTTGGAGTGACCAAGCAGTGTCCAGAGTTCAGATATGGCCAGGTGTTGTGTTCCACAGTGTAGGTCCGGACCTTGTGTCGGCTTCGTCGGTGAAGCTGTTCTCCGGATACATGTATCTGTTAAAATGTCCGCTTGTATATTGAAAAAGGATAAACTATTAAAAAAATTAGTTCATTTTTATCCAACTTTCTTTGCATATATAAGCATATATTATATATTCAATAAAATTATCAATGTAACACAGAAATCATTGTGAATATATTGGCTTAATTATCTCCTCTAATATTATTCAGAAAAATTATTCATGCAAATGAAGTTTCAAATATTTGTTCCTCGATTTTCAGTCTATGGGCTCCGCGCATACAGTCGTGTTTTACATAACTCTCGAGGACAAGGCATTGTCTTTCCCTATATCCCTGTAATATAACACTCTCCCATAGACTAAGCACATTAACGCACAATCGAGGACCGTTTTCAACAGAAGATGAACAATCGAGGTCAACAAAGAATCTGTTGTTCTCCCTTTGTCTGTCGGTCCTCGGGGTGTATGTGTACGCCCACAAGTACCCCCTCAACGGTAAGAAAGGGAGAGTTGGGGGAGACCACTGGGATAGACATTCAAATGCACTGCCGATGAAACCTGATGCTCATGCGAAGACGGTATGGCTTTGCGCACATTTATAATAAAGTACGTCGTTCGACATTGCGCCCTACTGGTTTGCGAACCAGTACGCGCACACAGTGAATTCCGTCCACTGGGCTCTCCAAAGTGGAAAAAAAGCGCCCTCTCTTGTTCATGCAAGGTACCAAAGCAATCACATGTCGAAGTGACCGCTTCGCTATCTTAACTCTTCAATCCTGTCCAATTCAGTGCCTTTTTTATTTTCAATTTGCAAATTCAATGATAAATAGCATAAATGAATGTGTGATATATAATAATTTAGGTGGACAAAATTCTCCACTGGTGTTATTCTTTAGAGAAAAGAATTAAAAATTGAATCTGTTATGAATCAAATATCAAAATCACTTGCAATAGCAAAAGATAATTTCTAGTTTAACCAATTTAAAAAACAATTAAAACAAATAGTCAAAGGTTTCAATTTTAATCTCTTCTTTGTCATAATTCTCTGGTTTTTCAAATAAACCACACAGGAAAGCTTACTGATTACGGGCATTATAATAATTTTTTGAGCTGAACAAAAAAATTGACTGGAGCGGGATTTGAGCCTGCGACCTCCGGATTGCCGTTCCGGTGCTCTACCAACTGAGCTATCCAGCCCTATGTTGGCAGTTCCCCATTTTGCCAATATCTTTTTTCAACGGGGGCTAGTCAGAAGCCAAGGTCATCGACAAAATCTGGAATTGCCAACATAGGGCTGGATAGCTCAGTTGGTAGAGCACTGGAACAGCAATCTGGAGGTCGCAGGTTCAAACCCGGTTCCGCTCAATTTCTTTGTTCAACTTGCTCAAGAAGATAATTCTCTGGTGATAACATTTTCCTGTGAACAGGAAAAAAAGCAAATGTTACAAATCAAAATCGCACATGCAAATAAGCCTTTTAAAAACTCTACGCATGACTTGATACACACAGTGTACAGCGCCCTCTAGTGTGCAACCTAAATCTCGCCCTTGGCTACTTGGAGGGTATTCTTCATCAACATGGCTACCGTCATTGGTCCCACGCCGCCGGGTACCGGTGTTATATGGCCAACCTTGTCGAAGACTCCTGCAAACAAAATATATCGAAAACACTGCTAGTAAGTAACAGGCAGTACAGAGGTTCGGGCAAAAGTACCCCCTCAACGGTAAGAAAGGGAGAGCTGGTGGAGACCACTAGGAGAGACATTCGAACTAAGGCTTAATTCGAACGCAGAATATAACATAAACTTAATTCAGAATATAACAAGTCGTGCGTACCTGAGTATCCGACCGTTGATGTCAAGAACCGGTTCCAGATTATGGGATCGGGTACCCGTAACCAACTTTACAAATTACTTAGTAACTTCTCAGACAATGAAAAAGAAAGGTTTTGAATGCCTTTTTTTTTTGGAGAAATGTTCAAAATGAAAACCAGGCTCATTGGAAAACCAAAACAGATATTTCACATTTACGTGCGTGTGATCGCGCGACAGATGACGCTCGCGAATGTGGCAGTTTATATCGTGAAACTATAAAGCCCTTCAGACAACTTCCGGGATTTGAATTGTGGGGTTGGGTTTCTTTTACGGATACCCAGTACTCAGTACCCAGTACCCAGTACTCAGTACCCAGTACCCAGTACTCAGTACTCAGTACCCAGTACCCAGTACTCAGTACCCAGTACCCAGTACTCAGTACCCAGTACCCAGTACTCAGTACCCAGTACCCAGTACTCAGTACTCAGTACCCAGTACCCAGTACTCAGTACCCAGTACCCAGTACTCAGTACCCAGTACTCAGTACCCAGTACCCAGTACCCAGTACTCAGTACCCAGTACTCAGTACCCAGTACCCAGCACCCAGTACCCAGTACCCAGTTCCCGTACTACCCGTAAATGCACACCACTGCGGGCTATACGCACATGATGAATATTTCAGGCCGATCTCACCGAATCTCACTCACCGTCGTAGTCCACATCGCCGACGAGGCGATACTTTCCCGTCTTGGGGTCCTGGACCCGGTTGATGCCCACGTCAAAGATGGCAGCGCCTTCCTTGACCATGTCGGCCGTGATCATCCGAGGGCGCCCTGCCGCCGCTACGATGATGTCGGCGTTGGTCATGTAGTAGCGCATCATCTCGGGGGAGGTCTTGCTGTGGCAGATGGTCACGTTGCAGTTCAGACCCATCTTGAGAGCTGGAAAGTTAAAAGGGTGAAGTTTAAACAAAAATGTACTCGTACGAAAGATGGCGATTCATGCCAAGCGATATAATCCATTTGTGAGTTAAATTCTGGAATCAATCAAATCTGGAACGCTGGCTCAGGCCATTATCGGCAACCAGCCCCTAACTTGTTTCAAACTTAACATTTAAAACTCCTCCAACTAACCATTGTTCCATTAATAAAAAAAAAAACTGAAACTGAGTGATATAATTTGAAGATCTTTGAAAGTCTTGGTGGTCTTACTGTTCCTCTGGTCAGCAGCCAGTAGCAGAGCCAACGGAAGCCCAACGTTCTTGGACCTGCCCATCACCACAGCATTCTTCCCCACGGTCTCAACTCCTGAAGGTTGATAAGACAACAAAAGCTAGAGGAATAATGTTCAGATAGCAAGTTCTTTACACATTCTCTTACCAACTGATTCACTGATCATCTGATCCGCTGATCATCTGATCCACTAATGACTACTTTGCTGATTTTCGGATCCACTGATTGAATGATCCAATGATTTACAGATTCTCTGATCCACAGATCAGCTGATCCAATGATTTACCGAGTCAATTATCCATGGATTTACTGATTCTCCTACCCACTGATTCCCTGATCCACTGATTCACTCATCCACTAATTCTATGATTTCATTTATCTGGTGATTTTAATGAATTTTAATCAACACTAGCTTTTATACCCGGTTTATTGTTTTATTGTTGTACAGCGGCTTGAATATATGGGTCATTCCATGTCAGACCAACGCACTTTTTTACCTCATGTCTTCCGATTTTGATAAAAATTGCTGTGCTTGTAGGTCCTAATGAGCAATGAATACACACCAATTTTTAGCCCGATCCAACCTACCATGTGGTCAGGGCAGAAGCCACAAAAAAATGGCATTTTTAGAGTAAAATACCACCCTTTTGTTATAAATATATCAAAACTATGGCAATTTTCATCAAATATATGTGAATTTGGTATTAAAATAATGAGGATTGCATGCTCAAATCACTTCTTTTGTCAAAATTAAATTTTATGAAAAGTAGGTCACGTGACCTTTAATATGCTATCGTGACCTTTGACCCAATTTTTGTAATAATGTATCATTCCGAAAATCAACGAAATAAAAATAACTTGCTAGAGCATGTCTTCCTCTATCAGAATCTACTAAAAATCAGTTGGGGTCTTCAAAATTTACAACTTTACGACTATTTTTGTACAGTTGGTAGGTTACAAATGAGTCAATTTATAGACTTTACATAAGAAAAACACCAACACAACTTACTATTCTGTTTCTTAAGTTACTAACATTTAATTTTAGTAACTTAAGAAACAGAATAGTAAGTGGTGTATTTCAAATTAATCTAGATTTTTATGTATAAAGTACAAAGCCAGGAAAAACAAAATTCTACCTTCTGATTCAAAAGAAACTGTCTAATCAGAATATCTGGACTCGGAAGTGTGCTAACTACTAACAGTAACCAGGCCTTCACCCAGTACAGCGGACTCACGTCCAGGTGAAATTCATCTCAAAGGAACAAAATGCCAAGTCTGTGAGAGTCATTAAAGTTCAAGAAGCACAGTGATGAATGAGTAAGATTGAACTTTGATTGTAATATTAAGTATTATCTTCAAGCAAACTTGAATCCTAGACCCTGATTAGTCCATCTATAGCAACAACTGTGTGATTTTATATTGCACAGCTATATTGCACCCCAGATATTAAAAATGTACGTGTACATATGTTGTGTTATTTCCTGCAGAACGGACCAATACACTACATGTATGCACGTACATCTTCACCGCGTGTACGCATTTGATATCAAGTTTGCTTGAAGATAAATTGGTTATAAATCCCACTTGCGCTCGTGGAACACGGAATTATGTAGTGCATCGAGTGGCATATGGGTCACAGCATCATTGCATTATTTCATATTCCAAGCGCGCTCGTGGGATAACTAATTATCAGTGGCACCCAGGAGGGGGGGGGGGGGGGCTTGAACCCACCCCAAACATTGTCAATTTGTTTGTTTGATTTTAGGCTAGTTTTTGTTGGTCCAATCTTTTACAGAAATTTGAACAAAAAACGATTTATGACCCCCCCCCCCCCCACCAAAAGCCAAATCCTGGGTGCGCCACTGCTGATAATTTACACTATGAGTCTGGTTAGACCTCATCAGCCCTCAGAATGAGAAATTCACAAACCAAGATATATTTTAGTAACTTTAGAAACAGAATAGTAAGCCATTTTTTTGTGGCTTCTGCCCTGACCACATAATAGGTCGGATCGGGCTAAAAATTGGTGTGCATTCATTGCTCATTAGGACCTACAAGCACAGCAATTTTTATCAAAATCGGAAGACATGAGGTAAAAAAGTGCGTTGGTCTGACATGGAATGACCCATATGTTACATAAAATTTGCGCTTTATAAATACTATTAATGTTATTATTATTATGATTCACTGATTTAAGAATTCTCTGATCCACTTATTCTCTGATGCACTGATTCTCTGAATCCACTGATTCACTATTCCACTAATTTCCATTTCCCTCCTCCACTGTTTTACTTATCCTCTGATTTCCTGATTCCCTTAAAACTGATCCACTAGTTCAATAATCCACCAACTGGTTCCTCAATTACACTCAACGATCAACTGATGACTACCTGATCTCTTGATGAGCTCCCAGACTCCGTATGGCGTGGCAGGCAGCAACGTGGGCAAGTCCAGCACCAGCCTACCCACATTCACCATGTTGAAGCCGTCCACGTCTTTGTTGGGCGAGACAGCGTCGCAGATTTTCCTCTTGTCCATGTGCGGGGGGACAGGCAACTGGACGAGGATTCCGTCGACAGCGTCCGACTTGTTGAGGTCGTCAACGAGGGAGAGGAGTGCTGCTTCTGTCATGGTATCTGGCTCGCGGATCGTCTCGGAGGTGATGCCTTTATTTAGTCAGGGTCAAAGGTCACACTGTTAGAGATTATATTCGTTCTCATTTAAGTCTTGTCTACTACACCCTCTGAGACACTTCAACATTTGCTAAAAAAATATTCTCCTAATAAACCGTCAACTTCTATGTTTCTTTTTAAAGATATTGGACACCATTTGCAAAAAGAAATGCGCTTTTGCCGATTCAAGCAACAAAAATACAATAAGGCTGAAGCAGGTTATTCAAATACTAACTAATCTCATCTAACTAATCTAAATACTAATCTGAGCTCAGTAGATATCATACTATTTGATAAAACTGTGAAAATGCATATTGTTAATCTCGACACAAAGCATAAGTTGCCATTGAAAACGTGACGGTTTGGTTCTTACTATGGTAAGGAATCAATGTTAGTTCCTCCTTTCTACGAAATGACAGCATACTAAATTTAGATCACTGATAGGGCTGTGCCGAATATTCGGATATTCGGTTATTCGATCAATAAACGAATATTCGAATATTTATTTTCGAATAAGAATATTCGGTGGTGATATGCAATGAAATAAAAAGGTGGAAAAAAACTCCTTTTTTTTAACAACAAAAGTGTATTCTCAAAGTTAAGTTTCAAGTTGCTGCCAAAAAAACCAATAAAAGTAGCTTGTATATATGCCAAGCAATAATGCCATACATATATTACTTCTGCTTTGGGAGTGCTTGCAGTAAAGCCAACCCATTTTTTTAACGCCGGACTGCAACACCAATCGCTGATTCTTCCGACAAGATAAACAAGACATTTTGTCTTTCATGTCTTTACAAAACACTTCCTGACACCTTTTCATATCAAACTTCTAGCATGAGTAGTAACGTTTCCGCTGTCCGTATTTTTGTTTGTTGTTGTCCTACTTACAATCCCTACTTTCAAAAGAAAACCGCCGCTGTTTTTCCCCGATGCGATCCTGGCAAGTTTCCCCGCGCGTTGGTGTTACATGTACATGTGTGCAGCATAGGAAAATGCAGCGTGGCATTGGAGAGGAGCACGTGTTAATTTGCCCACGTGCGCAGTGGGAGGGGCTTACTGGATCGGCTATTGACATCGCGAAAATGGCATGCCAACATCGATGTAGAAGACCTCTGCAATCTCATGCAAAGAACTTGCTTTCTTTTTTCTGTGTGGGCCTTTGTATTTTCCGTTTTCATGTACTTATTTTGAGGACGTACTGCTCGCACAGGGTCGCACAAGAAGCGGTACATTATACACTGATACAGCAAAGCCAATTCCCCCCAAAGTTTTCCATCGCCTGTTCAATCGTGTCGAATGCACGTGGTTATAGGGAATCGCCTTGCACGCAGTATGCTGCTCACAGCACGTGGCGGTGTTGTAGAAAACTTGTCATGAACCCCAACATTACATTAAAACGTTTTGAAAACCTTGGTTCATTTACGTTACGGACTCTGGGATTTTTCTAAAAGAATTTCTTGTTTACTTTTAGGGGTAAATTTATTATGGCTGTTAGATGTTCGCCTCAATGCCTCCGTAATTATATACATGTACATGTACAAAATAATCTAGTTCTCTCAACTGATCAGAGCACCCTTTTATCGAACACATTTTCGTTCGCTGTCCGTCAGCTTTGTTCGCTGGGTTAGTCTGCTAATTGCACCCAATATTTGCACAAATAAAACATACATAAACACTTCAAAAACTAGTTCAGCAATTATAATTTCAGTAATAATAGCGGGAACCTCTGGCTTATGTCCTCCAAGTTGAGCAAAACGCAAGAAAAAGGGCAGACAACAGAGAGGATTTTAAACTCAAAAGGGCTCTCATTTATTTCGCCAGACAGACTTTGCGGTCAACTCACCGCACCGTACCCCTGATTCCCAGCATAGAAAACCACAGCTAGATAAAATGTATCAAAATGTTACAAGTTGGAATATCCAAACCTTTTAGTGTCCTATTTGTTAGAAAGTTATCTCCAGAGCACGCACTTAGCCAGACAAAAGAACCGGGTCAGCGCACCTGTGCCCTAATTAGCCCGCCAACAATGCGCCCGCCGGAGCTCGGCTGGCGATTTTTTTTTTTTTTTTGCTGAAATGTCACCCTTCGTGTTTTGGGTACACAGCTTATAATACATCCCCTGTGGGTAAACAAGGAAATACTGCTTTGCACGTGTCAAGCTGGGGCGTGTGTATGCCGCGCTTACGCCCATTATTTGCATAAACTTAAATATGCATTTACAATTCAAAGACCCATATTTCATTGAATAAAGACATTAAATATCATAGGTTTTTTTCTTGGAGTTTTTGGTTGTTGAGAATAAGTTTATTTAAAATGATATAAAATCATTTCCTCAATTCTTGGTGACAAAAAGTGCGAGTTATTATTATAAAAGTGATTTTTATCCACAATACTGTGACTAGGAAGTACACCGTTTTGTAGACTTCAAGAAGCTTCCAGTAATAGATATGCTCGGTTCCTGGTTGTGAGTTAAGGGTCGGAGAGTCACAATAGCTGACGCCACCCGCCGTGTTTGGGGTTCACGGCTTAATACGTCCCCCATGCAAGCAAGGAATCCTTCACTCTAGCTTCTCTGGTTATTGTTAATTTTTAAATTACTGACGACTGAAGAACAACTGATTGTTGTCAAATACCTGACTTACCTGTGAAGAAATCATGCTGACGTGCGCACGTACGTTGACTACATGTACATGTATGGCATATTTTTGCTTTTGAGGAAATTTGGAATGGCCAAATAACCGAATATTCGAATATTCGATCGATTGGAAGGTCGAATATTCGAATATTCAATTATTCGAATTGACTCAGCCCTAATCACTGAAATCTCCCTTCCAGACTGACAAATTCAACAACGCCATCAACAGACAAAAGCAATCAAGGGACTGTTTTAAACTTTAAGAGCTCCCAGCCTTCATAAGGATTGACTGCCTGTGAATCTTTGAGCTTGATACAGCTTAGCCCCATAAATGTGGCCAATTTACTGGACTGCCTCCGTAAACATAGGCCACACATCCACATGTACAAAAACGTGTCGCACTTTGCCAAATTTAGATTTTCACATCTAGGCTTAGTTTGTAGGGGTTTTTTTGCTTTAGAAGCATACTCACCCTCTTTATAGGCTAATCAGAAAGTGCTGCCTTTTTCAGATGTCTAATTTCTGTGAAATTTCATGTTGAAATTTTGATACGCAAACGTGTGCAAATGAATCTGGAAATTTCACCAAAAATAGACATCTGAAAAAGGCAGCACTTTCTGATTAGCCTATAAAGAGGGTGAGTATGCTTCAAAAGCAAAAAAAACCTACAAACTAAGCCTAAATGTGAAAATCAAAGTTTGTCAAAGTGCGACATGTTTTTGTACATGTGGATGTGTGGCCTATGTTTATGGAGGTAGTCCAGTAAATAGGCCACATTTATGGGGCTAGATACAGCTGTGCTTTGACTGTAGGAGATTGATAAGCCAGCTGTACCTACCAGTTACTAACTTTTGTCTGTTGACGGAATTTGACTAGTCACAGTGCCTACCACAATATGATCCGACTGTTAGTGACTAGCCTGTGTAAAAGGCATAGCTGGGGAGCGGATTGACTGTTTGACTGTCTGTGACTGCTCAGACAGTTGGAGGTTAACTTTTGCACTGCTAATCTTTTCTCTCTTTTTTTAATCACATCTCCAAACGCAAAACTCCATTATACAATTAAAAATGTTTTGACAATTTCTCACCGCATTCTTGGGCTGCTTTCATCTTGTTCCTGACGTAGACAGCACTGGCAGGGTCTTCGCCTACCAGGACGGCAGTCAGGTGAGGGGGTCGATGGCCTTTTGCTACCCACGCTTTCACCTCCTCCGCGACCTCTGCCTGCACCTCCTTGGAAATCTTCTTACCGTCGATAATCTCTGCATGGCTAACGAAATCAGGGTAGAATTAATTAAACAAGCTGTAACTTGAGGTTGAACCTCAGCGTACCCGGAAAAAATCTTGTAAAACCCCGAGGTACATGTAAACCTCGTTGGAAACGTTGAGGTACGGCCCCTGCGACCTCTGCCTGCACCTCTTGGGAGATCTTCCTGCTGTCGATAATCTCTCCAGGTACCCTGAACCACAGGGTAACAGGTAAAAACTTGTACAAGTAAAACCTTGAGGTAAACTTTAAAGGTAAACTTCTAGGTAAATCTGAAAGTAAACCTCGAGGTATTGGCTCTGCGACCTCTGCCTGCACCTCTTGAAAATCTTCCTTCCGTCGATAATCCCTGCATGGCTTAACAAAATAAGGGAAGAATGCAAACATTAAATGAGCAGTCACTTGAGGTTGAGCATCAGAGTACCCGGTAAAACCTCGTAAAACCTTGTGGAACAGGTAAACCTCCAGGTATAGCCTCTGCCACCTCTGCCTGCACCTCTTCGAAATCTTCTTACCATCGATAATCTCTGCATGGCTAACGAAATTATAGGTAGAATGTGCAAATTAAACAAACATTAACTTGAGATTAAAATCCCGTGGTAACCAGTAAAACATTAACTGTAAAACATTGAGGTAAACTTTCCAAGTAAACTTTGAGGTAAACTTTGAGGTAAAGCACGAGGTAAACCTCGAGGTATGGCCTCTGCGACCTAGCTCTGCCTGCACCTCATGGAAATCTTCTTAGTATTGATAATCTCTGCATAGCTTAACAAAATAAGGGAAGAATGCAAAAATTAAATGAATGGTAAACTTGAGGTTGAACCCAAGGGTATCCGGTAAAGCCTCGTAAACGAGGTAAACTTCGACGTAATCCTCGAAATAACGACAGAATGCGAAGAATCCATTTGCCATCTTGGAAAAATCTACCATCTGGGGGGAGGGGGTGAATGGGGAGACGGGAAGTTTTTAATGTTTTATTTACACTTCTTTGACAAAAACAAAGCAAAATATTATATAAAGAAAAAAATAGCCTAGGCTAAATGAATTAATAAATAGGCCTAGATAACTGTGAATTTTGTTACTTGAGTGCGATTAAAACTGATCCCCAAAATGAGGGGCCAAATCAAATAATTTCAAAAGGTCCGTTCAAAGTTAAATATTATGCAATAATCAGTTTTTATAATTGTGTGATTCTGCCTCTAAAGTAAAGGCCTGCAAGTACAAGTTTAGGCTAAACTTTCAACTTGCCAAAATGATTTTAACCCCCCCCCCCCCCTTACTCTCCCAGATGATGCTCCGCGTGAGCAGAGGCCATACCGCGTAGCGGAGCATATTAGGAGTACCCCCCCCCCCCCCCCCCCCCCCCCCCCCCCCCCCCCCCCCACCACCACCAGCATGACCAGTCCATGCCTACATGTACAAACAAACTTGTTAGGGCCTATTTAGTATTAATTGGATAATACATACTTCACAGATGTTCTATGAAACGCTGAGGCACTCAGTGACCCAAAGGCATTCTTTTTGGAGAGGAATGATCGCAAACACGGTCTAAAAACCGACATTTTGACACAAAAGTAGTAAGGCTTTCTCAACAAGGTTGGCCTGCGCCAAATGAATCTGCATACCAGTTTGATAGTACAAGATCCATGCAGTACAAGGTGTATTTACTTTGGTAACAGAAAAAATAAGGATTGTTACCCCATGTTGTTTTATGTTAATGGTGCAGTTTTAATTTATTTAACTTATTTTTTCATAAAAGTTTAAATAAAGCTACACAATTAAGTATTATATTTTGTCTTTAATTTCAAAATACATGTGATGATACGTATTTGACGTAGTTGTGCATTGAGAATGGAATGTGTTTTTCCTCCAGGATTCTTAGGAGAAACAAAATTTTAGTTTTGTTGGACAACTGCGTACTCCTTTTACAACATGGGTTTTGGACATTAGTGTCCTCGATCTACTTGAAAACATGGCGGTCTCCGGCGGCGTTGGACTTAAACGCAAACTTGTCGATGTTCCCGACGATTTCTCCGACAGCGACGATGAAATTGGTAAATATGGCGACATGCTTCGTTGCAGATTGTTATTGCAAAATGGGGTAACCAAAGGAAGTCAATGGATTGTGCTATGAATTTCCTTTTTTTACGGTACCCAACTTTTGTATCGCAAATCTGTATTGCATTCAATACGTGATAATTTCTATTTCTTTGTTGTTTTTTATTACGAATTGACAGTTGCAATATTAATGCTTCAACGCAATCGATCGATCGATCTCAGTGGCGCACCCAGGATTTGGTTTTGGGGGGGTCTCAATTTTTTTGAAAAAAATGTTGCCCAGAATTTTTGGTCGCACTCGCAGAAAAAAATTGTAAGTTTTTTTTCGGGGAGCGGACTATTTTGACGTTAGTGGCGCCACTTACACCCCTATTATACTACTCGAAAATAGGTAAAATCGTGGGACTAACAAAAAAAATTTCCCCCCTAAAAAAAATTGATAACCTGGGCCGGGGGGAGGGGGCTCAAGCCCCCGAGATAAAACGTTCCCTACAGCTCTGATACACGTCTGACTTTACTGGGGACCACTGAAATTAGCTCTTGATGGGGCGAATCTATAGTTGGGCCACCCCAATCTTTTTATTTTGCGGTCCCAACTATAGTGTACATTGTTGTACGATTATAAAACATTCCCTACAACTCTAATACACATCTGACTTTACTGGGGACCAATGAAATGATCTATGGGTGGGGACCATCTGTAGTTGGGCCACCGCAATATTTTTATTTGGCAGTCCCAACTATAGTTTACATTGATGTACGATTATAAAACATTCCCTACAGCTCTGCTTACATGTCCCGACTTGGGACCTTTGACATTAGCTATGGGTGGGGCCCATCTATAGTTGGCCGGCCATGGCAATCTTTGAATTTTGCAAAATGTTGCTGGATAATAAAACCCAGCAGCTGGACAACTCATCCAACTAGGCAGTACCACGTGACCGGCCAGCCTTGCAGCATGCACGGTGCCAGCGCCACGGAACATTTAATCCAACAAGATCTATCAAGCATGAAGCATCCGGCGCAACTCCAGTCCTAACTATAGTTGGGCCGACCCAACTGCCGCACTATAGTTGGGACAGTCCCAACTATAGTTGGGACCGATGCGATAGTTGGGGCGTGACACTACTACTAGGCCTACTGGTAGTGATAGTACTTAGTAGTAGGCTTATTATGTCAACCAAATATTTTAAGTCCTTGGACTTTTTTTGCTTTGGTCACCATTTTTTAACAATAAAACCGAAATGAATGAATGAATGAATCTTCCCTCCGCCCCCCCCCCCCCCCTCCCCCAGCTTCACCCACTAACTGGGGCGCTGGAACTCCATTTTTCGAAGTTGGATTTGGTCTGTCATACTTAAAGGGAATATACATCATTTGCTTTAGCTGTAATTTTCAGAAATGGATGGAATTGGGGGGTTGGAAATATAAAGCAAATATAGTTACACTGACTTTTTGGAGGTTTTGGGTTCGAAAATGCTATAAAAACCAAGAAAAACGATCATTTTCCTGTAGTCTGGTTCCCTGACTCTATATAAGAAGAAACAGAGCAGTTTACATACATTGGGGAATTGTAAGGTCAGGGAACCAGTCTAGCTGGCTCGTACCCGTTCATAGGTTTGTAATCGATTGCAAACAAGTGCAATGGTCAATTGGGGCCAGTATTTGAAAAAAAAGCCAGTTGTTTCCAACGCTGATCGGCCGATCAGCGTTGGAAATTGATACAAAAATACCACTTTTCTTGAAAATGACAGTATACCAGGTGCCATAATTTTACAGGATGCTTTAGACTGTCATTTACCAACATCCTATTAAGGTATTTCGCAAAAACTTGGTAGTTTTATTTTTCGATGTTTGCAAATGTTGTATATTCCTTTTAAGAAATCCTGTTTTCAAATTTTGGATTTGGTCTGTCGAATTAGAACGACAGACCAAATCCACAATTCAACAAAAAGGAGTTCTAGTCCCCCGGTTATTTGGTCTACCCCAACGTGCCCAAAATGAGGGCTGTCTTCCGTTATTGTTTTAAATTGAATCCCACATTTAATTTGCAGAATGTTTCGTGTTCTTTTTTCTAAATTTTTGCCTCTGGAGGTTTTTTTTTTAAAGGGAAATAAAGTCCAAAAGTATAGGTCTGATTCTCGTCTCTTTAACACAGAGTCACAACGACAATATTAGCTGGGAACCAGACAAAGATTCTTCACGGTAAAAGTCCCCTAAAAACAGTCACTGCGCATGTTCAGTGCCGCGCAGGTACAATACTCAAAACAGTCTGGGACCGGTTCATGGTCCAAATACACTGCCATATGTTATGGCTTGCCCTCATTTCAATTTTCTTGTTCACGTTTTGACTTTGTTTGCTTTCAGCTCCTGTGAAGGATCCCAAGATCGACAAAAGCAGAAGCTGTCCCTACCTCGACACAATCAACAGGTATATTGTACATTGTCGCGCGGTCGATTACCATGCACAGCGCTAGCGCGCACCAGTCAAACTTGGCAACTGGCGCTGAAGCGCACGCCCGACGACTGTTTGATGTGCCACTGCTGCACTAGTATGAGGCTTGTCGCATCACGGCTGCGGTAGAACGGCAGCCGAAGTTGGCCGACAAACGTTTGTCGGGTGTGCGCTTCAATTCACTCCATTCCTATTATAACAAACCAATGATAAAATATAGGGCTGAGGTAACTCCAGCTTCATGACAATACTTTTTTATCTTCTTCCTTTGTATTTTAGGACTTTGCTGGATTTTGACTTTGAGAAACTGTGTTCGGTGTCGCTATCTCACCTCAATGTCTATGCCTGCCTTGTGTGTGGAAAGTATTTTCAAGGTAAAGACCATAGAGCTATATTAAAATACTAGCGCACTAACTCGATGTACAAAGTAATGCCTGATGGGCGCATCCATGTTTGTACACAAATTTATGGAGAACTAGAAATTTTGTACGGCTTTTGTACGTCTATTTGCATATCAGCGTTTGTATTCCATACCAGTGCATTATCGAAGCCGATACGCCCAAAACAAAAACGAACGATCAGCAAATGAGCGTCTCATTTTGCTCTACGCAAACAGCGCAGCGCGTGCTCGCATTCGCTGCAAATGCTGTCACGTTTTTTGTAACCGTCAATGACGCGCTTAAGTTGTTTGCGTGTGTTCTCCTTGGCGTTGCATGTAGAGTACACTTTCAAAATTCAATCCATCTAATTTCATTATGTTCTACAAACATGCACATGAATTCAAAATGTCTGTGCCCAGGACGGCTTCAGAGCGTCTCCGCGCGCAAGAATGAGGAGTTAGCGCTCTAGTAATTCAATATAGATCTATGGTAAAGACAGATTAGTTTGCAGGTCTGGTGAATAAAGAAAATAAATTTTGTTGTAAAGTTGAACAAAGAAATTGACAGAAGTAGGGCTTGAATCTGCCACTTCGGATTGCCGTTCCCGTGCTCTACCAACTGAGCTATCCAGCCCTATGTTGGCGGTTCCCCATTTTGTCAATGTCTTTGATCAAGGGACGCTGATCAGAAGCCATAAACCCATGTAGCCAGGGATCACGCCCAAAGTCACGATGCTAGCAACATAAGCAATGCTGCAAACCTGGGAAATAGCAAACGGGGATCACTCAGAGAAGACTAGTGCCCCATGAGCAAAGGCATTTACAAAATGGGGAACCGTCAACATAGGGCTGGATAGCTCAGTTGGTAGAGCACCGGAACAGCAATGCGGAGGTCACAAGTTCAAACCCCACTCCCGAAAGTAATTTTGTTCCACTTTTAGAAATAATTGTAATGCACCTGTTAGTATCCTTTTGTTGTTTTATAAAATGTGGAATTGTTTTTATCACACTTAAAAATCAAGTGACTTTTTAAAATCATCCCAACTTTGGTCGGTTGGAAAAGAGAACGTTGATTGGAATTTTGGTCTAAAACTCTATTTTGCTAACTTCAAGTAATGGAACCAAATATCCACATCTGCAACATTTCTTCAAATAAATAAGCAGAACATGATAAAACAGAGTCTTTAACCCTAACTCCCGAGCATGATTCACTAGGAACCATACCCATCCTGGCAAATTCCAACACCATATGGGAAACTGCATATTTCTGACTTTGATTCTGGAGGTGTGCCAACCCAATGTGAAAGACTGTCAGTTTTAACTGTACCCGTCCTGACAGATTCTGACAAAACATGCCGTTGGGGTTTGATGGGTTGAGTTCTGTTGAGTGTAAATTTTCCGGCTTACTAAAATGTTCTCATCTGCCACGCCTGTTTAGGGCGGGGCCGGAAGTCCCACGCCTACACCCACAGCGTCCAGATCAACCACCACGTGTTCCTCAACCTACACACCCTCAAGTTTTACTGCCTGCCCGACAACTATGAAATCGTCGATTCCTCGTTAGAAGACATCACAGTAAGTTTACTACAGGGCGAGTCAAAAAACACGAAACCCAAATGTCGGGACTATTGTTTTAGTGAAGTTCTGCATGTAGCAGTTTCAACATCTAGGATATGAAAGCCCAACTCATAAGCTTTCTTTTAGTACAAGAATCATTCAAATCACTCATGTACTTTTCAAGTTACGGAATT